GGTTCTGTATTCTTTTAATGCTAAACTGATGTAGTGGACGGTCGTTTCTACTCAACTTATCATTGAAAAATGGTGCGAAATAGTGATTGGATGCAGTTATCAATGTGTTCGTCTATTATTATTTTTCTATGTATATATAAACATGTATGAATAAATGCAAATTGTTGGTCTACAGCAATGGTCTAATTCCACATATTCCTGTCCAATGACAATTGAAACTACTGAATATTTATCTATACTATCTTAAAATTTCAAAAGATAGTAATAATATAATTATAATTCAAAAATTAATGCAAAACAACTTTTCAGAGATACTATTCTATGCGTTTATATATTTGTTAATTTCTATCATAAACATTATTTTACTGATATTTTACAGCCATTCAACTACTGATTATTGATTAAACATACCTACCTGCTAAGTGACGATGTAAGAATAAAAAAAAACTAGTTTTGTTCTAAAATTATAATGAATGATATTATTTTCATTCTTATTTTGCATAATGTATGATTAATTTTTCATTGAGTTTCGAAAGACGTGTCTGTTTAATTTGTAGATAACAGTTTTATCATCAAAATTATAATATTCAACTGAATGTTCAATAAATCGAATTGTTGATGATAGTTTACAGTGTTATAGTTGGCTGGAATGTTTATTTGAAAATAGTGTAATATTCGAGTATTTCCATATTCTTTTTTGAATTTGTTTTTGAGTATTTTATTATAAAGATTTAATAAATGTATATCATGCTTTTATTTAAGTAAATAAAAAATAATAATTAAGTTAAAAATTGATCAATAATTGTTGTGTTAAATATTTTGTGACTTAATAATGAATAAATGTCTTAGAATTAATGTTAATTGAAATATAAACTATACATTTATAATTAAAAAAGGTTATGAAATGTGTTATGTTAAAAAATGTAGGTACCATTATGTTTTAGATTTACATTACTGTACAATAATTTACAATTAAAATTATTTTCGTACAATAATAAGCAATTCTAAGCTCTAGATTATAGTTATAACACATTTACAAAATTTTTGTTAGTTAAACAGTATTAACATAACATTACGTTCTCACTGCGGTCGCTGGAACTGTTTTAAAACCTGAATGAAATAAAATTGTTTGTTAAAAAACCGAATTGGTACGAGTGTAATTTTGCACAATATTTAATAAATAAGGTAAATTGTTTAAAATTTTAAAATCTACAGGTTTTTGTCAAGTTCAAATTCTCAATTATTTATTATTAATTATTAGTAGTTACTTATGTGTATAAATACAATATAAAGGCAAACATGTTATTATGAAAATAGTCAAAAATATATTTTATGAAAATTATTATTAGTGTTACATATAATAGCATATAAAAAAAAGAAGGTATATACTTACTCTATTGAGTTTGTTGAATGAAGATCATCGATTCTTAACTTTTTTTGTACTAGACGCTCGTTTGGCAGAAGCTAATGGATTTCTAGGAGTGGTTGGACCATTTGTCAAACTATTAGATTTTCCACTATCTTTGGTCATATTATCTTCACTACCACTATTTCC